TATATCACTAATCGTTAAACTCGATAATGAAAATAATTGACGACTTTTATTATCGATTAGTTGGTCAGTCAATTAGTTGGGCTGCTTTCAGCTCCTCACACCCTCCCCCTCCCTGGCTCATGGCCTCACTCACAAGCATGTTACTAGCTACCCCAGAGAAAAGTATTAAGGAGTCCTGGCAAACTCCTAGCTGAGCGCGGACTGACAGTTCAGAAACTGCCCAAGGACCCCCCCGGCCTCCCCACGTCTCCTCCCTGGGCTGCTCATAGGCGACTGTGGATGGGCTGAATAGGGCCGTCCCAGGGAAAAGTATTAAGGAGTCCCAGTAAATGCTTAGGTAAGCGCAGATTGACCATTTGTGCACTGCCAGAGGACCCGCAGCCTCTTCCATGTCTCAGCCTCCTCCTCCCTGGGCTGCTCATAGTGGACTGTGGACGGGCTGCATAGCGAGGTACAACCTGTGTAAGTAGTGTGTGCTGTGTGTTGTTTGTGTGCTGTGTGTACTTTGTGTGTATTATGTGCTGTATGTGTGCTGTGTTTGTATATTATGTGCTGTATGTGTGCTGTGTTTGTATATTATGTGCTGTATGTGTGCTGTGTTTGTATATTATGTGCTGTATGTGTAGTGTGTGTGTATTATGTGCTGTATGCATGCTGTGTGTGTATTATGTGATGTATGTACTGTGTGCATTATGTGTGCTGCATGTGTATTATGTGTTGTATGTGTGCTGTGTATTATGTGTGCTGCATGTATTGTATGTGTGCTGTGTGTGTATTGTCTTGCATGTGTGCGTATTATGTGTTGCATGTGTGTGCAGTGAGTGGAGTCAGTGGCGGGGGGTAAGAGACGGTGCGGCTTGCCCGGGCACAAAGACGGGGGGAACACCGGCTGGGCAGCGACTAGAATTAGGCCTGTGAAGCCCGTGACACACTGCATGTGGAGCGGTGGTGTGTACAGTTTTGCGTGCAGTGTGTCTAGCTAAATCCTCTCCCGTGCTCAGCTAGGTGAGAGCCGAGTGTGGCAAGATTAAATATTTAATCTCTAGCCAATCGGCTCACACGTATGAATCCGCGTGTCAGGGCACTGATTCAAGTTTGCAGCCAATTGGATTACCCCAGACAAAAGCGTCTGGTGAGATATGTGACATGCCAGGGATGATAGCTACTGTATGTAGAAAGAATGAGTATGATATGTGTATTAAATAAACATTTAAATATTTATTAATCAATATTTATTAAACTAATACAGTAGTTAATTAAATATGGATTAATTAGCAATTAATTCAATAAAATGTAATATGAAATAATCGTATTAAATAATTAAATCTTTTTTTTTATCTGATTAATTGAAAAAAATAAGTCGGCCAACTAATCGATTATGAAAATAAAAGTTAGTTGCAGCCCTAGAGAACATACAGTATTAAACTTGGAAACCACAGTTTTTGAAAATGAGGAAGAAAAAAGAAAAAAAAGCAAACCACAGAAAGACTTCATAATTCCTTCCTGTGACTAGGGGTATATCTATGCTGAAATTGAAACAATTAAATTGCCCTTAAGTTGTTCCCCATGCAGACCTCCCCTCAGCACGGACCCCAAGTGATTGCAGTGACAGACAGCACAGCCAATCACTGCTGTCACTTTTAAACAAGCAGCGGGGGGCAATGGAATGCCTACAATACTCACTTCCCTGCCCTGTCACTTCCCTGCGAGTCTGAATGGTGCACAGCTTAACTGAAGGGACAAACTCTGCCACTATTCCTGAGGGATACAGTTCCCTCCCCCAAAGTGGCACCTATGGCACAACCCAATATACACCGCTGCCTATGACTGAAGTTACACTTACCTCCATGGTATAGTTGGTGTGCTTGTTGTCAAATATAAGTGCTTCCTGAATCTGTTGATGATCACTCTCTAGCTGGTCAATCTTTGGTTTGTAGTTCACAATGCTCTTCTCATATTGCCGCAGATGGGTCAGTTGGTCTTCTAGAGTTCCATGCATTTCTATAGAGATGCGGCCAATCTCCTGCAGAGAGGTAGAATATATTTATATGAACCAACTTCTAGATTTCTGGGCTTGTCTGGTAAAAGCAGAGATTAAAAAAAAAAAGCATTGAATACACTGCAGCATTTTTGTGACCAAACCTGGATTTGGACTGTGTACCTCAGTGCTGCAAGGCAGGGGTGCTAACCAGTGAGCCACTGTGCTGCCCATAGACAAGACGTCCCTCATACCTGCATCTTTGTTTGTATCCATGGTCCGATGACATTGGCTTGTGCTCCAAACTGCTTCCTCAGCCTTTCATTCTGCTGCTGTCGTGCATGTTCCTCCATCAAGGCCTGATCTCTGCGGGGCACCAGCTGTCTGACCTGCATACAACACACCAGGTAATGGTTGAGCAAAATTGTATTCTTCCCACTAACATTACCCAGTGAATACTGCTACCCTAAGTGCTTCATTTAAATAAGAAGGTTATATGCAGTCAGAATCTCCATACTACCCGTATAGAAGTTGTATAAATATTGAACCCACTGACTCAACATTAAATACAGGCAACTGTCGTTTTCAGAAAGAAATGTTAACTTGCATAAAGCCTATAGCAGCCTTTCTCAACCCTTTACCCCAAAGAAACCCTTGAAATCATTTTCTAGTTTTCAGGGAATTCCTGCTAAAAAGCTTTATACAGTTCACAGTACATCAGCGTGATCAATAAATTGAAGAAGACTTTGAATTTAAAAAAAAAAAGTAGCATAGCATACATGATATCCAGGTAGGGTTGCCACCTATCTGGGATTTGAGTGCTGTGTCCAAGCTTCATGGCAACTGAAACTCAGACACAGGGGCAACCACATTTAAGATGGGGGCTACCGGCCCTCCACTGAGAAGTAGGCTCGACTGATATTTACATATGAATGGGTGACGATATTTACACATAAATAAGCAGCGACTCATTCATATGTAAATATCGTGGTGAATTGGGATGCAAATTCTGGACCCTTTTTAGATATACTATATTGTTGGGATTTGTTTTATATTGACTTTCAAGGGGCACTTGCAGGAAAAAAAGTGAAACAAATCTACTGTAATCCATCAAACATTGCACCTATGCTAATTCAGAAATCTCAATCATTTTATGGTAATGGCTCTCTCCCTACACGGCCCGTCCTTGCTCTCTCTCCTGGCTGTCTCTTTTCTCTTCGCACTCTCTCCTGGCTGTCTCTTTTCTCTTCGCGCTCTCTCCTGGCTGTCTCTTTTCTCTTCGCGCTCTCTCCTGGCTGTCTCTTCTCTCTTCGCTCTCTCTCCTGGCTGTCTCTCTTCGCTCTCTCTCCTGGCTGTCTCTCTTCGCTCTCTCCTGGCTGTCTCTCTCTCTTCGCGCTCTCCTGGCTGTTTCTCTTTGCGCTCTCCTGGCTGTTTCTCTTCGCTCTCTCTCCTGGCTGTCTCTTTTCTCTTCGCTCTCTCTCCTGGCTGTCTCTTTTCTCTTCGCTCTCTCTCCTGGCTGTCTCTTTTCTCTTCGCTCTCTCTCCTGGCTGTCTCTTTTCTCTTCGCTCTCTCTCCTGGCTGTCTCTTTTCTCTTATAACCTCAGGAAGCTCCTAGGGAATCAGCAACTATACTGCTCCAGCTCTCTGGGGGTGCCATGCCAAAAAGAGAGTTAGTAAACATCGAAAAACACTAACCGTGACGCTTACTTTTGTCAATTGTGTCAGCAAGTTCCTACATTAAACTAACATTTAATGCTAAATATCATTTTTTTTGTGCATTTTGAATAGAGTATGGAAGCATTAAAAATTCTGTGAGGTTTTAATTTTGGTTTGTGACCCCATTAGGGAGACCTTTTTCTCACTTCCTGTTCCTGTGACACCCGTACAAAAGATTAGGGTGTGGTTGTCATTGAATGAAAAAGGCAGAAAAGACAGCAATAAAAGCATTATCAGAAGTTCTAACTATTCCTCATACTACTAAAATGTCAGTGTTGAGAGATTTGCACTAATTTCCTGTCCTAACAGGAAGGGGAAATCTCCCCAATGGTAATACAGATAGCATTTAAAACACATTAGAGGATCTAACCCTAGCCTGTACTATCTGAATCAAAATCAAAGGATTTAGCTGGAGTTTGGATTTAAAAAAAACAAACCTCTAAATAGCTCTTTTAATTGTTAAAAATGGATTCCTATGCATCTGTTGGTTTAAAAAAATGCAACTGTGAAGGAGTGGGCAACCTTCAGCATTTACATGTGGCTGCTTTCAAATCACAACTCCCAACATGCATTTCATCCATGTACATGGATTGGTAAAGGCCATCTTCAGCAGACTGATCCACAAATCTGTATTCATTCAAAATTGTCATTGTTAACACAGCATAGATGAGGTACTTAAACACGATATAGTCTTTAGTTATATTTCAATGTATCGGTCACCCTATGCAATCCTTCCTATCAGGTGAAATGACCCAGTAAACAGAATGAACTCACGTGGTCCCACTTATTGTTGATATCTAGAGGTGAGATAGTGGAGTAGGGGTTGGTTCCAGACATGTTGACATGGTAGGTCTGAGCAATCTTTGAGACCTCATTATGGATTCCGAGAATTGCTTGTCTCTCCTTGTCAGCCTCTGGCAATGTTGCTTTGAATTGTTCATGTGCTGTGCTCAGTCCCTAAAATGAGATGTAATCATTTCTATTACATTCTATCATTGTACATTCTACTATTACCATAAATAAACCTTGTAATACATAAAAAAGAATATTTAGCAAACCTATTATTTATCCTCTGATGACGTTTTAGTAAATCTGAAGGGAAGCCACTCCCTCCAGTTATTTTTTTTTTTTTTTTACATCAAGAAGAGTCCATTTGGTGGGGAAGGAGTGTGTGACATTTACATTTGCAGTGAGTGCTAAGTTGGAGAGAGCTGGGAATTCTGTTGGCCATAGCTCACTACAATAGCATGCGAGAGATGTATCTTATGGTAACAGCTGCATGTATGGCATACAAGCATATTCTGTAAACTCTGCTGCATCAGATAAAGGTTTACATACTAGAAAATGTATGTTATTAAAGAGCTTGAGGCCACATATAGATAAAATCTGAAAACTGTCTTGGGAAAGCATACTCCCTGAAGGAAGGTGAAGATCTCATCCCTGAGGTATATGAAGCCAGTTGAGGATTTGGCCCAGCATCGCTCATTTATAACTATATTTCAGTTTTGGGTGTATTTGACCTTTAATGACCACTAACATTAGTGCTATATCCATCGTCTACATCTGCCTTATCCAGTAAACAGCTACATTTACATTTATATGGGGGAAAGTGATAAGGGTACCTGGATCTCCTCAATGGTATGAACGATGAAAGTGTCCTGCAGATCCTCCATGGCGCCTTCCATCCAGTTGTTGAATGGTGCAGCTCTCTTGGCATATTCTAGATAAAGCTGATCAATTGTTTCCAGCAATTTTTCTGTTTTCTAAAAGATCAATAAACAGCAAAATGGTTATATAAAGAAATCATTAAGCGTGCAGACATACAAGCCCATTCCCTACTGATCTTTTGTTCCGGTCATTTGATAGCTTAGAAAATCAGAATGCAGCTTATATTCTCGGCAGGGAAACAAACTGCTAGGGTACATTTTGCCTGCTCTACCTACCTTATTCTAATGGAAGGTAAAGCAAGTATGTATCACATAAACTATTGTTTTATACTGGTAGCAAGTGCCCACAAGAATTTAGGGAGGAGTGCTCTCTGCAAACAGTCTGAGAAGACTCGGAACCTGACCTGACCGAAAATGTCAATTTTGGCAAAATGCCGAAAGTACTATCTTTCGGTCGAAATTGCGGTGCATCCATGGTTTTTCTCCTCCCCGCTGGGCGCTGCTCTTCGTCCCTTCTGACACAGCGCAGCGTCCAGTGGGGAGGAAAGAATCTGTCAGAGGAGGCCAAGCGGGGCAGGGAGAAGAGCTATGTGAGGCGCGTAATGTCTCAGGAGGTCGAGCTCTCCTCCTGCGCCGCCCCGCTCAGCCTCCTGTGACAGTTCAGGAGAGTGGTGTGTGGGCAGAGACAGCTGTGAGCCGTCACAGAAGGTGGAGCCGGCAGTGCAGGGGCAGAAGCCAGTTGTCACAGGAGACCGAGCTCTCCTCCTGTACCACCGGCTCAGTCTCCTGTGACAGTGATCAGTGATTGTTGACTGTTTGTAAATAATAAAGGACATATGTTTACTGTGTCCCCAATTATGAATGAACAGGAAGTGTTCTACATCCTGGTCATTCATGATTGTGGATATAGTAAACGTACTATCTCCACAAGATATGAATTAACAGGATTCCTGGTCATTCATAACAGGGGCTGCAGAAAAAGAGATTGAAAACTGTGTCCTCAATCTCTTTTTCTAATTTAAAAAGGGAAATATCAGGGGTCTAAACAGACCCCTGATATTTCCCAGAGCCCCCCAACAGTAAAGTAACAAATAAAATAATGAAAAATAAAAAATAAAAAGTTTAGAACAAAAAAATATTTAAAAAAAATAAAATGAAAAAAGGTTAGAAAAAAAAATATTTAGGGTTTCGGCCTGACAATTTCTTTATTTTCCGTTTCAAAATTTCATTTTGGTGCACCTCTAGTAATAGGTGTATTGGATTAGATGTTCAACAGATTATTATGTGTTTTTTTTAGTTATTGGAAAGGTTTTATCTTTGACTGTATAAATCTTTTTGAAGGTTTTGGGTTATATTATTCTTTTGTTTGCTCTTCTTGTGTGATTTGTATACATTTTGTGTTTAAAAATTTCAATAAACAATTATATATATATTTTAAAAAAAGTTGTCAGCCTCAAATGTCAATTATCAGCTGTTTCTGGTTTTTTTTAAACAGTTCCCACTATCAAAATGAAAAACAACAAACATATAAATAACTTGTTCCTATCCCTATATGAAAAACAACATCATAAGCGATATAGACATACAACATACTTGATTCTAACCCTATATGAAAAGCAACAACCTAAAAAATCTAGACATCGAACGTACTAAAAAACAAATTCTCTTGTGGAGCATGCACTCACTCCTTCCACCTTCCTCTGCACCTGCACATTCCCTACTTTGATAAATTGCCCTGCCAAGAGCTAAAAGGATAATCTGTCACTGGAATATAAATTTCATTACAAAACAAAAGGCAGGAGCCATTCCAAATGCAGGGAAGCTAAAATCAATCCACACTGCGAACAATGGCAGCCCATGAATAAAATCAACAGATGTATTTACCATCCTCACAAAATCCTGAAAGCACCGCAGAATCAATACAAAACTGATATAAAAGACAAAAGGCTGAATAAACACTGCTATATAACGCAATCTCACTTGCAGGTGAGTCAGCTCCCTTGTACATGGAGATTCCATTTTATCTAGGCATATATTTCCTTTCAGGGCTGAAACTCTCTTGGTTTGAGAATACATAATAAACAGTCATTGCACATTCTATGTAAAATTGCATGATAAAGCTGCCCTTAGACACTAGAAGACAGCTGGACAGGCAAAGATGCCCGGACATTGCTAGGGGTCAATAAACTTTACTTGGATCACCTGGAAGTGCATGTTTATGCTGCAAAAGCAAGAGATGCCACCAAACACCATTGGGGTCGACCTAAAGTGTCTTTCTGGACAAAATGTAAAAAATAAAATCAGTTCATCTCTACAATACGTGCGCATTTCCCTTTCTTCTTAAAAACTGCAAAAACACTACAAGAAAAATACTTGTTGATCCTCCCAGAAATCCAGTGTGCTCCTACCTTCCTGCTTCAGGTACCCACACACAACCTCTGCTGCACTGAATTCCCAAGTAGTGTTGTCAGCCCTGTCCAATTCTCTCCTGCTGGACTGCAGAACACCTTTAATCTGCAGAACATAAGGGGAAGATGTTATCTAGTCCAGCAGAATAGAAGTGGGTAGATCTGATAACAGTGCTTGGGATTTCAGCATTGCAGAGTGCACATGAAGTTAGGAGCTTGCTGGATATCGGATAGATCTGTACCCGTTTCATTTTTGAAGGGATAAAATGTGGAGAAATGTGGCTGTATTGCAGCGATGTACTGAATATGTATTTGTTTTATTCTGCTCAGACTTGCACTTCCTTCTGCACCATCTGTAAGAGTGTATACGTCATATTTTTCCTCCTCTCTGGTACAATATAGCATTTTCTGAAGCTCATTACTCCTCCATATAACTACTTCTCCCACTCATTTACACGAACAGATTCCCATCTACATTACTTTCACATCAGCAGATTTTCCCCAGTCACTGTAATTTGGTAGTGAAAGAAGACCTATATAAATGCTGTTCAAAAATATATGTTTCATCTGGGCTGTTGGCTTTATGGTGTATAATTATACCTCTCCGGGACAACCTCTCTAATATATACAGCACCCGGATGTGAACATGTTATACAGAGCAGCTGATAACAATATGAATGTAGCTCAGAGCAGGCGAACTGGAAAATGGGCAAATCCCTTCATCTAGGCTAGGGTGTATTTTAGATATAAGCAAACCAAGAACTGATATTTATTAGAAAGACGGGGTTCTGGATTCTCTGCTTTATTTAATCAGCAAAAATTTAAGTTACTGAAAGAAAATGCATATTTTATTATGAAGTCATATCCAGGGATATCGTAACGCCTTTAGCAAAGTGTTGTTAGAATGTCTTATAGCTATTTTCCCTTTTTTTAAGGGCCCAGGCACAATGCAGTAAACTACTTCTGCCCGCATGGCAACAATGAAAGGCACTTGTTGAAGGGAAAAACGTACCGGAATAATTTTAGGTGCAACGAAAAGGTGTGCAAAGTCTTACAGTTCACATAAATGTAAAAAAGCAGCCACAGCATGAGTAGAAAAGCCCACCATTTGCCAACATGCTGTAGAGGAGGACACTTGCTCTTTGTGTGGAAGCAGTGGTCCCTCTGCAGAGGTCGGCCATGCCCAATACAGAGTCAAAGCTAAAGGTCTGCAATTAGCACCGAGCATACAGGTCTGTCTTGCCCCGTGATGAGTTAGCACTAAGGGCCCAGTTACACCATCAAGTGTGCATTCTAGTGCGTTCAGCCTCTGGAACGCAACCCGGCTGGCTCACTTTGTTTTAGGGCGGGAGGGGGCGTGGTGGTGCATTGAACTCAATGGCACCGCTGCCACACCCCCCCGCCCGAGGTGCGATCGCCAGCACCCGAACGCGTGGCACATTAGTGCCTGCGTTCCAGTCCAGTGGGATCTGCAATAGATGCTGCATACACTATTTTTTGCAGATCGCACTAGCCCGGAATGCAGGCACTAATGTGCCACAGGTTCGGGTGCCGTCGATCGCACCGTGGGCGTGGCTGCGGTGCCATTGAGTTCAATGCACCTGCACGCCCCCTCCCGCACCAAAACAGAGTGAGACGGCCGGGGGCCGAACGCACTCTTGATGGTGTGACTGGGCCCTGAAGCTTTGTAATAGGCAATGCTAATGTTCCCTGCTTTCTATAGAAAATAAACTACAATATTGCACTCCTATTGTCTTGTGTTTATCTGATTTAAGCTGAAAGTTCAATTGTAAAGCTGGCCAAACACCTTACAACCATCTTTGTCCCGAAATCGCACACTCGTTCAATTTTCGTTCAAACAGCCCATCATGCACAGACCAATGTAGTTTGCGATTATCGTTCGTCAGCACCACTAACTGGCCAAATTTCATCGATCGAAAGAACAGATTTTTGTCGGCTTTAAATCGCTCTTGAAGAGTTATGGAAGCTCCTTTCGAACCAGATCTGTTCTTATTCACAAATTCATTAAGCACCTTTCAACTAAATTTCGGCAAAGGTGGAATCAGTAATTTTTACAGTGAAGCCAAGTTTGGCCAAATTGGCTGCTCATCCCAATTTACAAAGTGAGGTAACATTCCCTCAGAACAGGTGTTCCCATTTACAGATTCACCTCCTATTCTATTGATGTCTGTAAAATGTGGATTTCCTATCACTTTCTGCTCTGGTGACCAAAGTCAATGGAGAAGGTAAACCTCCCTATCTGGGGCAGACTGCAATAAAACCTGAAAGGGGTTCTATACTTTAAATTTACTATATTACAATCTAGTAAAGCTGGCATAATTCTCATTCAGGACAATACTGCAACAGGGACATGTATTATTATTAAGAAAAAAAATCAATAGCCATGGTGTGGCATTTCATAGAAGTTAGCACAACAATTATGGGTAGAGAAGTCATACCTCCAAAGCCTCTCTGCGTTTCTGGGTGAGAACGCCAAGGTTATCCCACTGGTCACAGATTTTTTGGCACCTGGCATTCACGCTCGGAGAATCATAGTAATCCAGCTCGCTACATGCAAACACAAACAGGCAGTTCAGTGAACACAGAGAAATTTAATAGCCTGAAACATGTGACCTTAATGAGCCATATGAGGACAAGCAATTCGACAAGTGAAATACGTTGCTGGGATTGTTTATTGACTTTTCCATCCACACTATTTTCTCCTACAAAAACAATCTAATGATTGTGCCAGACAGGGTACATAATCATCAGATAGGCCTAACACGGATATATAATGTATACCTTGACCACTAGATGCCATACAGGCTCTATCAAGCATCAGGACAAATAAGGAAATGTAACCTGCTAAAACATTTCATCATTCACTCCTCTAACCTGTGACAAGTCCTTAGATATGCAGGTACAGATCAGGGCTGTTAAAAAGCAAGGTGAAAATCTAATTTTAAAGCCCATCTCTGGGCACAATTTCTTCCCCCCTCCCATACCTCCCTTTCACCTACCTCTTACCCACTTAGCACTTATTAATAAAATATATATATTTTTTATACATTTAACTCTGCTGTCCATGTCCCATGCTGGTGTTGCTTCCGTGAGTGAAGAACGGTGGTTCCAGTGCTGCAGTCTGTGCCCATGGTCACCTCTTTGTGACATCATGATGCCACTGAACAACCACCAGGAAATGCGTTACACAGGCAGTTACACGTTACACAGGCAGTGACGCTGGCACCAAAAAAGAACCCTTCTCTTCTGCAGGGAGGAAGGTGTAAAACTGGAGAACAAAAAAGGGGTTCTAACTTAAGATAATTTAACTTTAAAACAAAATTAAAATAAA